CACCCTGTATGTTTCGAAATAATTTTAAATGGTAGCCTATGTTGACATGCAACTTCCTAGAGAGGAAGAATTCCAAGAAGATAAGTGGTTAGCCTTCTAGAGACCGAGGCGTTACTGGCGGCCCACCCTGTATACTTAAACAGGGTGATGTAGCCTAATTGAATGTCAATATTTGAGAAGGCGATTCTTGGGCCCATTTTGAAAAGAAAATTTCATATAAACTTATGACCTAAACGTCTTAACTTTTGAGATACAGGGTGGTAAGTTCTCAAAAATAAATAGTTATTTATTAATATCTGTAATACCACTTGATTTGATCTCTTGAATTGTTTCAGTCCGAATCACGGTTTTCATCTGAAAAATAATAGTATATTGTTCAACGAGCACGAAATGATAGTGATTCCCAACGAGAATGAAGTTTGCAGCATGGGCCATAAGCGAATGCTGCACTCATTCGAGTAGGAAATTAGCATTATGTGCAAGTTATACACTATAATTTTTCTACGGCTGTAACAGATAACAGCGGCATTTTCGATTCCTTCGGCTTGTTGCCATCTGATTTTCAGTCAAGTAATGCTCATCTAGTAGACAGAGCTGTCATTGCTTGCAATTTGACATTCCATGAGCGATTAGAATTTTTTGAAATAATAACACAATGCAGCCATTGTGATATCAGATACGGAAATAAAATTGATGACAAAGTTCCTCATTGATGTATCGAACACAGTAAAACAAGAGCAATTTTGTGTTATAGCCGTGGAAAAAATAAATTTCTGGTGCATTGTGGTATTGTCATTTTATTAACGATCTTGTTATGATCATGCAGTGAACAGATTTTCATTTTTTTGAGCGAAAACCGTGCAGCAGATCGAAAAAATTATGGGGAATCGAATTTGCTTCGAAATGAATTTCAGGAATGATTTCAATTTTGAGATTAATCAGTGGCGTACCATCAATGTCTGCAAAAATAGGTATGTAAAATTCCATTCGAATGCCAGTGGTGGCAACAAAAAAAATGTGGTACACTAGCTGATGCCTCTTGATACATAGTACTTGTATGCCAAATTTGATCAGAATATCTACAATGAGATCAAAGATATAAATGAAAACATTTTTCATTTCTCTTTCTAGTGTTGTATTCATGGTAATTTTTGTTTTTGTTCAACTTGTTTACTTTTTCATGAGTGTATATTAACTATAATTTATATACATATATGGCAGTAAGTGTAAGGATTCCGTGTTGAATGAATGTGTCCCTACAAGACTCTCTGTAGTCCAAAATGAAAAAAAGTCTGATGAATCTTTTCTATTGATTCCTGTGGCTCTGCCCCATACAATAATGTTACTACTGATTACAGGCAATTATCATGGAAATTGGATTTTAATGTAGAAAATGCAGAATATAACCCATTCAGTATTTTACAAACAGAATCAATTTGGCCATTGAAAGCTAGCTTATAATCTCATTCTAAACCCAGATATTTCGTTAACCCAGAGCATGGAATGTTTGTACCACAGATATTGAATACATAGTTGCTTGCTGGTTTGAGAGGACTAGTGAATTCTATCAATAAGATGATTCAATCTGCACCATTGTTTGTGTGTCCATTTAGTGCGTAATTCTTCGATATCTCCAAAGCCATAACCTATAGAAAAAATCTTTGAAGGACAAACTTTTTCAGTTACTACAGTTGCTCATTTCAAAAATATTTTCAACATTACTGGGTGTTTTATAGAAGCGGGATGAATCGGAGACGAGTTTTTTCAAATGGAACACACAGTATTGTTTATTCGGAATTTATTCCGCCGAGGTTTACCTTCACATCGCTGTAAAAAAAATTGAAATCGGTTACGGCGTTGCCAAGTTATAATTGATAAATCTATTTTTACCACTATTGAAGAGTCATGTTGAATTGGGCATGGTATATTCATTTATTCAAATTATGAAAATATTTTTGGCATGAAAATGTTCTTCATCAGGGTGCTCAATTTTGCATTTAGAATTTTGCAAGATTCAGATGACATTCATTAGAATTTTTCATATGGAACACCCTGTATTTTTTTTTACAAATTCATTTCGACATCTTTCGCCTTTTCATCGCTGAAAAAAATCAGAATCGGCTGCGGCGTTGTCGAGTTATGGATAATTTCCTTATTTTTACTACTATTTCGGGGTATAATTCGTACGTCATAGTTCTTTCATTCATTTGTATTGTGGAAATATTGCGTTGCTACGGTATAATCAAATTTCTTCATTGACCATTCATATATTTTTTTAAAATAGGAACATTTACAGGCTGTCCAAGTTTGAATTTAAAACAAATAAGTGGGTTTTGACAAATTGATCCAAAATGCTACTTTCACAAATTGTTTGTAGACTATGAATTAATTTTTCGAAAAACACTCCCATTATTTGTGTAATGACCTGTCAAACATCGCCACAATCGAATATATCTTGAATTTATTTAAAAAAATCTGAATTCCCTCCCGAAACCCGCATAGTAAAGAAATATTGTTTTCACCATTATGTAGAGTTCGCCCGTTACCCCCGATACTAACAATCGGGGGTAACGGTTTGCCTCCTTCAAGTTCAATGAAGATTTGGATTGTGGGAATAACGACAATAAAAGTGGTCCAAATTTCAAAAAATTGTCCTTATTCTCGCAATTCAAATCTCCATTGTTTGTATTGTAGAAGTTGTTTTAAAGGCAGGCGTTGCTTTTGGCATGTTTGTTTGTATCACATAGGTTCATATTATTTAAATCATAAGTAACAAAATTACGGAATATTTCAAATTTGGACAATGCATATATCGCGAAAATACCTGAATGATCTATGTAGAACCTCGTATGTCATGTGGCAAGCAATATTCCCACACTCAAATCAAATGAAGGAACCATGCCTCATAAGTTGCCCTTGGTTGGATGGGTATTTTCCTTATGTTTATCAATATCTCGATAAACATATGGAAAATACCCATAACTTGAAAACGCCGCAACCGATTTTGAAAACAAAATTTTTTAGAAGGCGAATGATGTCGAAATGAATCTGTAATGAAAAATACAGGGTGTTCCATTTGAAAAATTCTAATGAACGTCGTCTGAATCTTACAATATTCAGAATGTAAATTTTAGCACCCTGTAAAGGATAATCTCGCAAAACTACTGGATTGGTGTACGTGAGACCTTGCTACTACTGCATGCCAAAAATATTTCCAAAATTTTAATAAATGAATATACCATACACAATTCAACATGACCCTTCAAAAGTAGTAAAAATGGGTTTATCAATTATAACTTGGCAACGCCGCAACCAAATTCAATTTTTTTCACAGCGATGTAGAGCTAAACCTTAGCGGAATAAATTTTGAATAAAAAATACTGGGTGTTCTATTCAAAAAAACTCGTCTCCGAGTCCTCCCGCTTTTATAAAAGACCCAGTATTGTTGAAAATATTTTTGAAATGAAACCTTTGATAACGGAATTTTATCTCAAAAGTTATTCTCTAGTGATAATGGATTTCGAGATATCGAAGAATTACGCACTAAATGGACACACTGTATAAAGGTACGTCCCTGAGTAATATACCCAGTATATAGAGTAGAAAATGTAGTGGGCCTAGATATCCACCATGGGGTGTACCAATTGAAATGTCATAGCTATCAGACTGTTTTTCTAGTATTTTTTAGTTGATTCCCATTTTAAATTTGATAGAGCAGGGCTCCCCATGGGGGACCAAGAACAGAAGAGCAGTGTATGTCGTGTGCCTCCTAGGGAGCCGATTATCAGGATGACCAATTCCACAGAATGGTCTGGATAGAGCCTGCGGAGTTCGAAGAGAAGATCTCGATATTTAGTACGTTTCTCCTCCTCCTTCAAAGCGAAGTTCGGTTCGGCTGGCGCCGAAAACTCGATCACGAACATCGCTTTGGTTTGATGGTCGAGGAAGACTATATCAGGCTTACATAAATTCGGCACCTCTCATTCTTCACAACGGACTCAATATCCCCCGGAGCATAGGGCAGCACTGGGGTCTCGTCTATTCCGTACGAGTGCCTCAAATGATAGTAGAGCACTCGCAATGCCGCATTGTGACTATGGATGTAGGCCGAGACTGCATACACCGTGCAAAAAGACAGCAGGTGCATGATTTTCTCGGGCGCCCTGCGGCAGGCCCTGCAATTTGTGTCAGGGACCTCCATACCCATAAAACGGCTACAGTAGACGAGAGTGTTGAAAACCCCATCCTGGCATGCCATGATGAACCCCTCTGTTTCCGATTTAAGCCCGCCTGACTTGAGAATAGCGAAATTCAGTTCTTTGGATGACCCCCAGTCTTCAATGGTCTTGAATTAGACCGAATGCATGGGCTTATCCATGTGAAGCTGCAGGAACTTTTTCACTTCTGCAGCTTTGATGCGGGCCTTTCTCCGAGCGGGCTCTAGCTCAGTAACTGTCCTGCTCCTCGCGCTCGGAGTCAAAAATTAGAGACAATTCATCGGCTGCTAGACGTGCTGCCCTAAAAAGAAAAGCTCCTACTCCTGTATCTTCATGCGTTTTAACCATTTGCAGGAGGGGAACCGAACTTCTCATGACTTTGCAGGCGCCATCTAGAACCATTCTGTTATGAAGATACTCCAAGCTCAAGAGTCCACACAGGGCCTGTAGGCCCTGGTCCACGGCCACCACGGTCTCTAGGTATATAATAACCGTGGAACGGACGAATTTGGATGCAGACTTCTATTATTATTATTACTTTTATTATTATTATTATAAATTACTTTTAATGATATAATATCAACTATTCACAAAATAATGCAGATTTTGAATTGAAAAAACCTTTAAATCAATTAGGAAAATGTTTTTGCTAGCAGTGAAAAAAATATAAACCGTGGAACACCAAACTAATTTCTGGACTAGCTGATTCTTGGAAGAATGACTATAGTAACATTATCAATCATTCATTCATTTTGTTTTTGATTTTTTTCTGGACATACATACCTCTTCAGTGACCGGAAGTAGCCCTTCGAGAAACTGATCGAGAGCGTGATTCGTATAACAAATCACCAATATCGGCGTTTTTGTGTACCAAACTGACTTGTTCTGCAACAAAGTTTGAGCAATCCGGAGTCCGAGAAACGTTTTCCCGGTCCCAGGAGGACCCTGTATGATGGCGAACTCCTTGGTCAGGGCTGCTCGGAAAGCCTCACTTTGAGTGTCGTTCAATCCGTAGAATACCCTTTCACCCCAGTCGAGTGGAGAGAAAGTTTCGGATTCTATGGTGAACATTTGAGGGTCGCCTTTGAGGAGATATTCGGGCGGATCGGTCTCCGTTTCCACTCTAATGATGTAGCGCTCCATTGGGAAAGCCTCAGGGCGCATGTTTCTCAAAACGTTCAGAACCTGTTGGAATTAGGAGGTTTCACATGTAAGGATAAATGGATCTTGTGGGAAAATATTCACTTATTATATTGAGATATTATCTATTTGTAACAAGCTAGAAATTTCTTTATTCAATAAGAAGATTAACTTGACAATAGATAAAGTTTCTTGTTTCAAACTATTTGATTCTTGCTTTGACCAATACGTACTGTGATAATAAAGAAATATTCACTCATCTCCATAGCAGCTGAATTATTGAAGAGGAATATTCCAAGATATAATTATGAACATAAAAATTTTTTTTTGATGTATGATAAATTGACATTCATCATACGGGTCGTGGAAAGAAATTCTGAATTGAGAAAACCTAATCACGGATCTGCAATTGAGGTCTATAAAAATAACAAGTTTCCATCGTTCAAGTTTGAACCCCTTGATTGGGTAAAAGTATTGAGAAGGAACATTCTCAGATATAATTATGAACATAAAAAAAATGGATATATTCATGAAGATATACATTGAGAATTCGCATTCTCTATGAGATGAAAATAAGAATTCTTTCTCGGTCTATTCAACAGAAAACAACTACTTTCCTGGCAATATGCCACGATGAACATTGAATTACATCTATTGAACATCATACACGATGAGAATTTGAAAATGAAATATTCTGAAGTAGAGAATTTGCATTCTCCTTCATATCAAATCAAATCAACTTTATTACTAGATTAAAGTGTAAATAGTGTACAACTAAGACATATTCACATTTTGTCCAGCTTGTCACAAAAAAAGGAAAGTGTAGAAATATTACACATACCTAGGAAAATTTTGTTTACACAAAGACTAACACTCTTGATAATTATTGATTAATGATTACTACACAAGAAAAGTTATTTACTTATCACAAGTGAAAATTACACAGACAAAATTTTACTGAATTATGTTTTATCAACGTTTAGATAAAGATATGTACATAATATCATTCTGAATATTCAACAAAAAACAACTACTTTCCTGAAATTTTAGAGGATTTTCATTTTTCATGCTATCTTTTTGGATGTTCAACAGATATAATTCAATGTTGGACGTGGCAAATAGTCAGAAAAGTAGTTGTTTTCTGTTGAATATTCAGAATGATATATACTTCAGAAAATGTTGTTTTCGAATTCTTATCCTGTGTGTTCAATATTTTTAATTCAATGTTCGTCGTGGAATATAGCCAGGAAAGTAGTTGTTTTCTGTTGAATAAACCGAGAAAGAATTGATATTTTCATCACATATAGAGAATGCGAATTCTCAATGTATCTCTTTATGTATATACAGGGTGTCTGTTAGACGTTGGGACATGCCTCGGCTGTGGACTCCTGGGATAAAAACAAGTTGATTTAGGACAACTTACCTATATCCAGAATCGTCTCGTTGAAGTTTTTTTGGAAAAAAATTATTTTGCTCATAAAGAGTAGGCTGAGATCGATTTTCATAATGTTTGGTATTTCATGTTCTGTGACTGTGAGTCACGTTTTGAGATGTTTTTGATCATCATCAGTGACCTGCAAATGTTTCAAACAACCATGTTGCCGTACAAATTTGGTGATAACTTTTCAGAGGTCGGACTGGAAACTTCCAGTTTTTTTTTCCAGAAAGATGTTCCCTTTAGAAATATTTTTTGTATCGTGTTAATTTTTTATAAGTCTCGAGGTTCATTTGCAAATAAATAATTTCTGATCTGAGGCATGTATACATATATATCCTTTTTTTATGTTCATAATTATATCTGAGAATATTCCTCTTCAATACTTTAACTCAATCAAATGGTTCAAACTTGAAGTATAGAAACTTGTTATTTTTGTAGACCTTCAATCGCAGATTCGTGATTAGGTCTTATCAATCCAAAATTTCTTTCACGTCCTGTATGATGAATATCAATTTATCATACATCTAAAAGCAGAACTATCGTCAAGAATGTAAGTCGAGGGCAAATTTTCTAAAACATGAGTGATAACAAGAGAAAAATTATTGGAAATCAATTTTGCTGCGTGGGAGATTCGGTAAGAAAGTTTCATAGTTTAGAGTTGCTTTTAATATGATATGGGATGAACCCTATGACCCATCAAATAATATTCGACACTTAGGTATAACTCGTTTTTATTACTAAATTGTGAGAAACATTAAATAACAAATTTGTTATCTTGAATCCAATGTCTTCATAGTTTTATATTCAAATTAAAACTTGAAAAAACATATTTCCGATGAGTTTAGTTAAATATGATGCACTATATTTTTCACAAAAAGAAGTTGATTTTACTTTTTAGTAACTAAGGTTTATTACTGAAATTTCAGGAACATTGAAATCTATAAAACATCAATTCGTTTCCAACCATAACATCTGATATGACATGTCTACATAGCTTCAGAGGAAACTTTAGAAGCTAAATTAAATATGACGCACTATATTTTAACAATACAAGTTGATTTTACTTTCTAGTGATGAGGCGTGGGAGATTCGCTATGGACTTTTTCACACGTGAGGAAACTCTAGACGAAGACGATATGCCGACTTGCTCCAAGTGTAAGGAGCGCAGGAAATGTACGAAAACTTTGTCTTTTCGCAAGTTTCCAAAGGTGTTGGTTATTCATTTGAAACGTTTTATGTCTTTCGTATGTTCGTCAGACAAAGTCAACGTCATTATAGACTTTCCGCTCGAAGGTTTATATATGACGACAACGTCGCTCTGCAACGCTACAGTCTTAACGCGTTGTCCAACCACAGGGGCACCATGTACAGGGTGGGCCAAAATGGAAACTTTCAAAGTAAAAGTCCTATTTCCAAACTAGATAGACGAAAATTGATGTCGGTGTCTGATGGTCAATTTTTATGACAAACTCAATCGTGAAAACTGCACATCGATATCTGTCATCGTTTCTGAGTTATGTTTTTCGAAAATGTGCATTTTCGAAAACTTGCTGTAACTTTTTTCTTGTCAAAAATTTGTTGTCTCTATGAAAACATTTCCAAAGCACTTTTTGACGAAGAATTCAATGGAATAAGTAATTCATATTTTCAAAGTATACAGTGTGACCCATTTAAGATGGAAGCACCCTTATAAAACTTACATTTTTCAACCGATTGGAATGATTTTTTTTTGTTAGGTAGATATTCAAAAAGTCTATTAGGACACCAAATATCATGAATAAATCTCCATTTCCAGGGCCAATTAATCTGATTTTTCAAGGTCAAAAATCTAAAAAAATTACTTTTTTTTAGAAAAAACCTGACTACACCACTGGATTTGTGACATTTTCAAATGGGTAACATGTAAATTACGTTGAAATGCGTCAATCAATAAAAAAGTTATAAAGGAATGAAATTTGAAAAATATGCCGTTTAATCAACCCATCAATTTTTATTACTGAACAGATTTCGATGAAACTGTGATCAGTAATATTTCAAGACATCCTGAATCCAGTGAAGTATACAGAATTTTCATAAAATTCCTGAACATGAATTGGCCCTGGAAATGGAGATTTATTCATGATATTTGGTGTCCTAATAGACTTTTTGAATATCTACCTAACAAAAAAAAAATCATTCCAATCGGTTGAAAAATGTAAGTTTTATAAGGGTGCTTCCATCTTAAATGGGTCACACTGTATATCAATAGTTAATAACGGAAACATATTTTTATCAAATGGGACACCCTGTATATTTTTGCATATTTCAATAGAGCTTGAAATCACCATTCCAAAAATTTAGCACACTTGATATTTTATTGAAGTCATTTTTGAAATAGAGTGCTTTTAAGTTTTTAGATGCGGCGATAAAAGAGAAGGCGAATTTTTTTCATCTTTTGGAGCGAGCGCACGAAAGGAAATTCCTATAGTGTTCGTGGAGCATCGTGCGTTCCTAGGAAAGATAAGAAGAGGAGGTAGGTGTTAGAATTTTCTTTGAACTTTTGAAGGTTATAAGTTCTTGGAAATACTTCCATTGGCAAGGAATTCCAAAGCCGTCAAATTTTTAGAAAGCTGTTCATAGCAGTAATTAAAACTCATTTGTTCAACACAACTGAACTGAAAACAATTCAAACTATATTTAAAAATGATAAATAAACTTCAACAACAATAATAAAGAACGAACAAGAACAAAATATTCCTTCAGAGAAGGTGTTCGAAATGTCAACCAGCTTCTCTTACGCACAGGCGGCACCTTTTCTGAACATGTCTTGCCTCATTGATTAGTTCAATGGGAGTGAGAGAAGCAAAACTCAGCATCACTGCCGCTTCCAATTCCTGTCTAGAGTTGGTCGGCAATTTAAAAATAAGATCTTTCATCCTTCCCCAGAGGTAAAAGTCTATAGGCGTTAGGTCCGGTGACCTGGCCGGCCAACGGTCGGGACCTTGATTGGCTATTCAATTATTGCCAAAATTAGCTGCTAAAAAATTGTGAACGATTGCAGTGTTGTGAGGGGGAGCCCCGTCTTGCTGAAAATATATTTCCCTGAGCTCCATTAGCGGCAATTCGTCAAGAAGGGGTTCTATTTGATTCCCTAAAATTTCCAAATACCTCTGAGAGGTGGCCGATAATTCTACCCCTAAAAACACCTGCCCATACACTAAATCCAAATCTTCCTTGTATTCTCTGCTCCACAATAGAATGAGGATTCTGTTGTGCCCATGTATACGAATTGTAGCGGTTGAAAATACCGGCACTGCTCACATAAGCTTCGTCTGTCCAAATACAATTTAACGGAAAATTACGTTCAAAATCTCCTGGTATGAAGTGATGAACTTTTCTGGTCCTGTATGGCTTGAATTTGTGCTTCTTTAATGTCCGTCTAATGCTACTTCTTGTTAGGCCTGTTGTTATTTCCAAATTTCGAGTTGAAGTTCTGAGATTATTTTCAACAGCTCCTAAAATAACTATTTCTTCCAAATCCCTATCCCTATTTGGTTCATATACTTTTGGCCTTTTCTTCTCGAATTGACCATCATCAATTAGGTTGCGTCGCAATCTCGCATAAATATCTCTAAGTCTTCTGGATACCTCTCGTAGTACAAATCGCTTGCTGCTTCTGCATTTTCCCCGATTTGTATAAAACAGACTGTCATATCCCATTTTTCATAATTTTTAAACTTCATTGAAAATGTGTTTGTGAATTGAACGATAACCACGAATTGAGGAGCGTCTTTACTGCTCTTATATTACTTTGATCATAATTTGACAGCACAGTAAACATTCGATTTCTGTTTTATCACCGCGTCGTCCAAAGCCTACTTGTTCAAGATGTGCATTTCTAAGTTTAGATGTGAAAACCAAAAAAGCTCTGCATTTCAAAGATGACTCCAGTAAAACACCGAGTGTGCTATATTTTTGGAATGGTAACTTCAAGCTCTATTGAAATATGCAGAAATATACAGGGTGTCCCATTTGAAAAAAATATTTTTCCGATATTAACTATTGCTATATACTTTGGAAAAATAAATTACTTATACCATTGAATCCTACGTGAAAAAGTGCTTTGCAAATGTTTTCATAGAAACACCAAATTTTCGACAGGAAAAAAGTTACAGCAAGTATTCGAAAATGCACATTTTCGGATAACATGCTGTAACTCAGAAACGATGATAGATATCGATGTGCGATTTTCACTATTAGTGCAGGCTCCGGTCTGGGGACCGGAGCCTGCACTGGGCATAACAAGAAGCCAAACTTCGTCTGCCTTTAGCAAATGGGCGGACGTGGCACTAGAAGGATATTGGAGGAGTATAGGCGGCTGCAGGTAATCGAGAGACCTGGTGGCCGGTTTAAGCAAGCCAAAGAGGGCTTGGTTACTGGGCAGGGATCACCAAGTCCTGCGCCTTCTTATAGGGGCACTGACAGGGCACAACGGGATACGCACACACCTATCACTCATAGGTGTGGAAGATAGTCCCACTTGCCGTGAATGCGGAGAAGATGAGGAGACATCACTTCACTTCCTCGGAGACTGTGAGGCGTATGGAAGGATGGGATTCGAAATCTTTGCAGTAGATAAACTACAACAGGAAGATTTGGTCGAATTAGAGTGGACGAACATCCTGACCTTCATCAGAAGGACGGGAAGATTCGAAAAAAACTAAAAGAGGGATGTGTAGATATGTGGAGAGCAGGGGTTGGCAAAAAGGGCCCATAGGGGCCTACTTGCCTGGCTACAGCCTCCCCACAATACTATTACTACAACTTCACTATCAAGTTTGTCATAAAAATTGACCATCAGACACCGACATCAGTTTTTGTCCATCTAGTTTGGAAATAGTACTTTCCCTTTGAAAGTGTCCAATTTGGCTTACCATGTACAGTGGACACTACACCGCTCACTGCAAGCATCCATACTCCGGCAAATGGCATGAATATATAATGACTCCCGTGTTTCTCCAAAATTATTGATGAAATCTCTTGTGAGTGGTGATGCATAAATGCTCTTTTTTCTACTCACATAACTAAAATGGCATTTATCGTACGGATATGTACCACGCTATAAATGATCGATTAATCACGGTTTGCGATCTGTGATTTATTCAAAATATTACCACACATTACCATGGCAACGCAGTTCATTAAACACAGCTTCAGTAATTTGAGACATGTCTGGCCTGTCAATTGTATCAACTGTCAACTGTTATTTTCATATTTTGTATTAGAATTATTCAAACCATATTCGTTTGTATCAGAATTCTTCATATATATATGCGAAATGTAGCCGAAAGCGAAATCGAAGAGAATGTTTTGGTACTTGCATATCTCCAAGAAGTGTGCGCTAAGCATGACGATAATCGTGAAACAAAGGTTAGTAAGCAATGGACTGGACACATCTACAACCAATATCACTTATATGTGTCTCGCTGGTTGCATGCAGTTGCATGTATTATGTTGTCAATTATTCCCATTCCATTCGAATTATTTTGTAGGTTAGCAGGAATAGCAGATATTTTAATGTAATTTTCGGAGTTCGTAGAAAAAGCATAGTATGTAACGCGTTTATAAACTCTTCTAGACACTCGTTTATTAAACACTCGCTCCGCTCTGCTCCGCTCGTGCTTAAAATACTCGTTACTAAAAGGACATTTATAACACTTGTTACATAATATACTATTACGTGCAAGACAGACAATCCTACGATTGAATTTTAGTATTTTTAGTTATGTATTTTAATATTGATATCTTGACAAATAAATAATTCACAATATGGTTTTCATTTTTGAAAATAATACATTACGTTTAATAGAATATCTGCATAATATAAAAAGACATGGAAAGTACTGTATCGTTTACCATACTATGATACACCAACAAATCAATTATATAGAATAGCTGAACCATTCTCATTAGGAGAAATGTTCAAAATTGAGAATATGAGAATTACATACAATATCATAAATAGAAGATTGAAATCCAATTCTATTTTAACAGGAAACAATGAAATTCATGATTACCAAACTAGACAATATGGTTCATTTCATCTTGATATCGCTAATTCTTTAATATAGGCCAAAAAAGATTCACCCACGCTGCTCTTTTCGAATATAACGAATTACCAGATAATATAAAAAATTGCAGAAATACAATAAAATTCGAATACAAATTCATCATTTCTGAACGAAATGGATGATTTTTTTAAACTTTTGATTCATATTTAAATAGATTGTTGCTCACCAATATGAAATGATCTGTCAAAATGTAATACTTTATGTATTCAAAAATTTTTTATGAGTTCATTATAATTGTATAGTTTAGGTATTATTGTTAACTATACTTCCTCAGCTGCTTTTAATATGATGAGATGCAACCCTATGACCCATTCTGCATATAGATGTTAAATACAATTTGACACTTAATGAACATTAAATATAAAATGTGCTATCTGAAATCCAATGTCTTCATGGTTTCAAATTGAAATAAAACTTGTTAACACATAGTTGATTTTACTTGTTAGTAACTATAAGAAATTTAAAAAGCTATTTTTCCGATGAGTTTACAATAGAAGTTGATTTTACTTTCTAGTGATTAAGGTTTATTACTAAAATTTCAGAAAGATTAAAAACATAATTTTTTTTTCCACCATGACATATGACATCACATATGTTTTCATAGTTTCAAATGAAACTTAGGAAAACATATTTCCGATGGGTTCAGTTAAATAAGACGAACTGAATTTTTACAATAGAAGTTGATTCAACTTATTAGTTACTAAGGTTTATTACTAAAATTTCAGGAACATTAAAAACGTTTTCAACCATAACATTTATTATTACATGTTTTGAATGAAACTGAGTGACTTTTGCCAATAGATATCAGCTTCATGTTTGACAGAATAATTATCACTTATTAATTCTATTAAGTTAATGGAAGTTGCTATAAACAACGTAATAAAAAAGGAGCATGCTAATTGTTTCAAAATAAGTTTATGAAATTTTCAATATACATTGTTCAACATTTCTAATGGGAAAATGAAAGATTGAGACGGCTCTACTACCTCAACGTTTTCAAAAGAATATTGTTATTTATCATTCGCTACTAACCTGGTAATAAGGCTCGAAAAACACTGTGCTTTCCACCATCAAATAATTGAGGTGAAGCAAATTCGGTGGTAAAATGACATCAGCATTGAACCCAACAATGAGCTGTCCTTTCTCGAGACAATCTTTTACGTCCCGCTTCACAACCTTTCCAAACAAAAGCGTCTTGAAATTGTCGTGTGTAAAACAAAGTAAAGCACCAAACATGAACCTCCTGAAATAAAATACAGTTTTCAATGGATTGGGACTATATAATAAAATGTAGAAAGTTGACAACATTACCTGGAGTTTTCATACACATAGGTCCGTTTTGTTTTGCTGAAATCAAATTGGATTCTGTAGCAGTTTTGTTCAGTAACTGTTTCCTGAACTAGGAATTTGATGGGATTGTATATTTTCAAATTTTCCAATCTTTCTTTGGGGTTCTCCATATACCTACAATGAAAAAAATGCTATTAAAAAAATATAATAATAATAATAATAATAATGACTTTCACAAAGAGAAAAACTCAAAGTCATTACCACAACTAGTTCATAAAATGAACGACAATGGTAGATAACGAGAGAAAAACAACTACTTTCCTGGCTATATGCCACGCAGAACATTGCATTACATCCTCCCGAAACCTATGCGATAGTTCGTATAAACGAATAAAATCGCAAGTGTTTCCTTCCTAAACGGTGAGCTGCGCTTAAGTGGTTCAGGAACGCTGACTACCTGCAGACCGGTTTCGAGCTCTTGGCTCTCATCAGTACAGGGCTGTCCCAGATAGCTTCTTGACCGCTATCTGGTGCGAACCTGACCCAACGTAAACGCATCTCAGCATTTATACCATACGAGGCGTACGATGTCTGCGAAATGAAAACGCGAACGCCGAACGCCACGTGGCAAGGAAAGAAACACTCCAAAACAAAATCCCATTTCAGGTGAAATGGGAGTGGCAAAAACTCAAAGTGGAATGCAATGGTCACGAAGAGAAAAACTCAAAGTCATTACCACAACTAGTTCATAAAATGAACGACAATGGTAGATAACGAGAGAAAAACAACTACTTTCCTGGCTATATGCCACGCAGAACATTGCATTACATCCGTTCGGCGTTCGCGTTTTCATTTCGCAGACATCGTACGCCTCGTATGGTATAAATGCTGAGATGCGTTTACGTTGGGTCAGGTTCGCACCAGATAGCGGTCAAGAAGCTATCTGGGACAGCCCTGTACTGATGAGAGCCAAGAGCTCGAAACCGGTCTGCAGGTAGTCAGCGTTCCTGAACCACTTAAGCGCAGCTCACCGTTTAGGAAGGAAACACTTGCGATTTTATTCGTTTATACGAACTATCGCATAGGTTTCGGGAGGATGTAATGCAATGTTCTGCGTGGCATATAGCCAGGAAAGTAGTTGTTTTTCTCTCGTTATCTACCATTGTCGTTCATTTTATGAACTAGTTGTGGTAATGACTTTGAGTTTTTCTCTTTGTGACCATTGCATTCCACTTTGAGTTTTTGGCTTTTTCCCTAGTTAATAATGACTTTATTGAAAATTGAAAATTGACAAAATTGAAAAAATTGACAAATTGATATTACAAAAAATAAAAAAGAAAAAATTTCAATTTCAATTTTTCAAAAGGCGAAGTTCAGGATGCTCCGTGAGGGGCTCCTGTTCTTCCACTTAACCCTTGACTTAAACCTATACCTATACAGCGTACATACTATTGAGAAGATGAGAGAGATGAAATGAATGAGAGAGAGAGAGAGAGAGAGAGAGAGAGAGAGAGAGAGAAAAAAAGAGAGAGAGAGAGAGAGATAGAGAGGAAAGAAGGGAAGAGTATCAAGAGGGGATGTGATGTCCTTGTTTGAGGTAATTAATCAAATACTTTTTGATGTCATGTTCATGGCATTGAAATGATCCAAATACCTAATCAAATCATAGCATGTATTTTATGAAAAATTCACATAAGTCCGACTTTTTAAATTAATTCGGACTTTATTTAATTAATTCACTTTTGGAAAAAAAATTATTTAGATAAACAAAATTCAAGAATGTAACAAAACAACTGACTTTCATCTTAAAAGATCCAAAAGCATACCTAACATAAGAAATAAAGGCAATTTTTGCAAAACCAACTGAAACCATTTATTGAAAAAAATTAAGAACTACTACAAAGTTCGCAATTTTCTAAAAAAATGCAGCAAATTTTCATTGCGCACCTACGCAATATCGTCATTTTGGACAGCAATTTTTTTCTCATAATCGTCAGGCATCAAAATTCTCATTGAAATGTTAAATTTACTTTGACAAATAAAACCTCTCGCGTAATCATAAGTGATAAATCGATGGATGCTGGACATTTCATGCATTATTTCTATAGTTTATCCAAAGTCGAATGAACCGCCTCGAGCCGCACGTGCCCTCACTTCAAAAGAGGAACTTTCAACCCGCCGACGCCGCGCGGTGAAGGAAATAGTCCAATTGACTTTGAATAGACATCTGATTTTTTTTACCAAAAGACATTTCAAGCCGGTCATCTGCATATTATTATTGCCGTAGATAATATGATCTGCAGCAATCATTTGGCATGCAATGAAAAATTTAAAACTATAAAGCGGGTCTAAGAAGATTTAATTTTCCGTAATTGTAGGCGCTCAGATGTCCATGATGGTCAGGTTGCCATATAATGCCATTGGATTCTTCAGTTTGAACTAAACTACTTACCAGATGAAGTGGGACAGCCAAAAAATTGACTAATTTTGATAAGCTATAACTCGAACATTTCTTGGCCGATGTTGGATTTTCAACCAAAGGTAGAAAGCATCATCCTTTGGCTATGATTCATTGGCGTCAGGTTTCTATTTTTGCGATTCGTTTCGTTCTCTTTGTACAAAGTGTGGATTAAGAGCCGGAAAAATTTCAAAATTTTGACCAATAATTTGGGAAATGTGAGGGACCCTGGAATTCTTTTTCATATGTTGGGTGAATGGTTGGTCCGATACCTCGAGACGTCTTTGACATTTTTTTATAAAAGGCGTTGCTATGGAAAAATTGCCATTTTATAAAATTCCATTTTTATTATAAAATGTGGCCTCTTTTAGTGAAACAATAACAGCCAACATCCAAACTGCAACAAGGAATAATTCTACTAGAGATAGTTAACACCAGTGGCGTGCCAAAAGGGGTTTATGATATTAAGAAACAAATAATTCGTTTTTATTGAAGAAATTCAACAGTTTTATTGATTGTTACGGTTAGAAAGTTGCCAAATGTTTAAATAGCATGATGTAGACAAATCCAGAGGCGTGCAAAAGGTGATTTTGTAATGTTGACAAATTAAAATGCTATTCTCATTATCATTGTTTTTCACTTAGTCAAGGTGAGCATCGAAGTAATCCATTGGCGTTTTAAAGAGGATCCATCATTGAAGGCGATTCAAAAAGTTTTTTTTATCGTTTGGAGCGCACGAAAGGAGTTTGATATGGAAACATCTTCTTGTATCATTATTCATGAATGAATATTCAGGAACGTAACTCTGGCTCCTGATGTTTCTCGAGCCGTACAATTTGATAATTTTGTCTGAAAAAATTTAAAAAAATCTTCAATCTTTGCCCCCCAAGAAAATTCAACAATTATTTCTTCAATAATTTCCTAGTCCTCTTTCTGATAAAGCATTTTTTTGATATAAATATTTTTCCCATTTCAACTACTCAGACCCCCTGAAATAAAATTCAGCAGGCCCATGCATGGCCAGGGAATAACGTTCTCTCACGTACGTGAGCATATGGGTTTTTTTGTACGCCGATGGATTCATTAGAAAATAAATAATTATATGTATGCACCTTATTGTAAATAAATGAAAATAAAATAAATTATGAAACTGGAATTTTAATCTGTCCACATTACAGGATCATCTTTTGCACGCCTCTGAATTTGTCAACATTATGCTAATTGAATGTATGGCAATTTTTTAACTGTAACGATCAATAAAACTGTTGATTTTTTTCTCAATAAAAACGTTTTTTTTCCTTTCTGAATATCATAAGCCCCTTTTTTGGACGCCTCTGAATTTGACAACATCATGCTAATTTAAGGTATGGCACCTCTTCAACTGTAATGATCAATAGAAATGTTGAATTTTCTCAAATAAAACAAATTTTTCGTTTCTAAATATCATAAACCCTTTTTTGCGCGCCACTGGTGTTGATTATCTTCAGTAGAAATATCCTTTGTTGCAGTTCAGATGTGGGCTGTTATTGTTCAACTGAAAGAAGCCACATTTCAAAATAATGATGTAATTTCATAAAATGGCGATTTTTCTATAGCAACGCAATTTATCAAAAAAATTTAAAAGATGTCTTGCGAGGTATCGGACCAGAACCATTCACCCAACATCTGAAAAAGAATTCTAGAGCCCCTCACATTTCCCAAATTATTGGTCAAAATTTTGAAATTTTTCCGGCTCCTAATCCACACTCTGTACAAAGAGAACGAATCGCAAAAATAAAAACCCGACGCCAATGAAGCATAGCCAAAGGATGATGCTTTCTACCTTTGGTTGAAAATCCAACATCGGCCAAGAAATGTTCGAGTTATAGCTTATCAAAATTAGTCAATTTTTTTGCTGTCCCACTTCATCTGGTAAGTAGTTTAGTTCAAATTGAAGGTAATGATGCGATTTGTTTCCATTGGGGAAAGTTTGAATCAATTCATGACTCTTTGAAATAAAGTAATTTGAATCAATTCATGAATTAAATCACTGATTTAATTCATATGAATTCCAGCCAATCTTGGTTCAAAGTATGGGATATGGATGAGACATTTGAACAGTGATAAAAATATTCAGATTTTGTGTATTCAGAAGCACATAAAAATCAAAACCTATGAACCATTAATGAACTGAGTTTGTAGAACGATATGATCCCTTGAATATTTCCACAGCACCCTGTATATACAAGGTGTTTTTGAAATAAATGCACATATTCAGAACATTAATATGATACAGTCTAAGGAATATTCCCATGATATCAGATTTTTTTTAATTCTTCGAATGGACGAGAAATTCCATCCCAAATATTGAACAAAATACGAGCAAAAATCAAGTACGCCACTTTCAAACAATTCGAATGATTGAACTTCACGTGATTGTGCCTACCGCATGGGCATTTGAACAGAGCTGACGTCAGATTTGCAACAGTGTAGAACTGAGGGTAGAAAAAGGGATCTAACCTCAAATTTTATTTTGATCCCTACATTTTTTTATTAGTGCCATTAGATAGTACACGTCAAGCGTCAAGCTTTCTCAGTGTTTGAAATATTTGCACTTATTTCAATGCCACTCACTTGCAGATTCCTTTCCTCAAAGGGGCCACAAAATCTTCCCTGAGCAACCGAAATTGCACATCCAAATAGTGATGGACGCTCTGATAAGGACCTTTAGTGACATTTGGTCTCAAAAAGGGAGCATCTGGAATGGTTACCTCCATGGGACTAGGATAAATGCTGATATCCCTAAAATCGTTAGGAGGTTCTTGTTCGCCGTTTTCCTTTCGCACCCTCTCCATTTCTAATTTCTTCTCTATTTCTGCAGAAGTCGACTCCACCAACTCGTATATTTCATCTACCTCCACTTTGACTGCATCAGAAATATGTACACCCTTATTGTTATTTATAATTACAGGGATACTACATTTTGCAGCTTTTAAAAGCTTCAAAATCGCCTCACAGGAAGTAGTTGGGATCATATCATGATAATTTACGGAAATTTTCAGCAAGTTCCTCCAAAATTCGTCAATGCCATTCCAAAATAGGGTGTTATGTTTCTTCTCAAAATCACTCTGAAATATAGTGATAAAACAGATCATTCGGCATTCATAAATAAATACCAGTCAAGCAAATAATCAAAGAATAATCATAAATACCTACTTATACATACATATACAGACATAAATGATAACATTTGCAAATGCAAGCAACTTTTTTTTAACTTCAGATAGGAGGGAATAACGCTCTACAATAAAGGCAAAACATTATATGTCCGCAACATATAAAACTTCAACATCCTCTGACCCATTAGAGGTATTGAAAATTTATGAACATGTTATCATAATATATACATATATATGATAGCCCAAATATCATATCCCTCTGATCATTTTAGAAACAATGTTCAATAATTTCATGTATTATGCTTATTCTTTCATGAGAAAGATGAAAAAGTTTAACAAAAACTCACTTGAAAAGCCACAGTAGATACAAACTTGACAACATTATCTATGAAGCTAGTTCTCAGGGCCATCTCAAACAGTGCCAATTTCAATTCAGGAAATGTACAGTCACATATCCTGCATTGAAGCTTCACCAACATCACAATCATATCATTGGAAATCTCTCTGCTCTCCAATAACTCTTTGAAGCCTCTTTTGTCATTGTTCAAACTGAATATGACTTGTTCTAGATCCTCATTTTTCAATAAATCTTGGAGGAATCTGAACCCCATTTGTCTTACAGCATATCTCTCACCACTCTCATGGTATGGAGGTCTCCTATAATTTCTGGTGTCATTTCTGCCTCTGGTGTTAATACTGAATCTTTCTTCAGAATTACTTTGACTTCTAGAGAATACACCAAAAGAAGAACTAGAACTTGATGTTTCCTCAGCTTTATTTTTTGGAGAACGTGTCCCCCACCTGCCTGTAAAATAGTAAGGTTTGTGCATTTTCATGAAACCTTATTCAAGCCATAGGAAATATAAGATATAGAGTCCGACCACGTTAACTTTGGGACAGCATGTGACGCAACGCATATGCATATTCAATGCATACGCGACCACGTGCTGTCCCAAAGTTATCGTGGTCGGACTCTACCCGGTGTCAACGAATCTATTAGACAAGCCATAACTTCCCAGACCTTGCTTCCCAGGCAACCAGATGACGTTTCAGTGACATCTTTTTACGTCAGTTGAATGACCAAGGTGACGTCAGGAGTTGACGTCGTATGACGTGATAAATGGCGTCATATTACTCACGTTTATTGACTTCATTCCCTCACCAAACTGTGACGTCGGGCTGACGTCGAAATGACGTTAAAATTTGGTGATGAAACGTTAAAAAGTTCCCTCGAACATGGTGTGATAGTCACCACTGACCTCTGATGACATATAATATTGATTATGCATTGTTGAGTCTGCTTGGTGGTGCTGCCTCCGGTGTCATGTTCATTCAATCGTCGATTCAGCAGCGCTTTCCCTCAGCACGCATCTCCATCAGAATGAAATCAGTTACTTGTATTTGTACCAAAAATTATGTAGTTTGTATCGGCGAGATGTAAGCAAACCAAAAATAGTTTGATAGCAATGAAAAGGATGTTGGTGAATTTGAGTAACGTAAATCGAAATAGCAAATTATTGAAAAAATTTCTGAATGTCGAAGCTTACCAAATTGGTACGTCACTCCGACGTGATTTTTAGACGTCATCAAAGTGACGGTTTCAATATAGGTACACCTATATTATCATTTGTATTTACACGTATATAGCTTGATTGGTTTCCAAGATATACAGGGTGTCAAAGTTTAAAAACAGATTTCTCTTACTTTTTGGGTATATATAAAACTCGAATGTTGATTTGTTTTATTGAGTTATACTTCTATCGACGTTATAAGCATATATGTACATACAGAGTGGGCCTTTGAAAACGAAACAGAGGCTCTGTAGGTCGCCAAAACCGGATTATGAAAAGAATCTGAAACACGTCATCTACATTTTCGAGGGGGACATCGTCCTACAATATTTTCAGCCCTGCGGCGTTGCCGCTGCTAACGAAAAGTAGCAACAACTTTGTTATTTCAAATGGAACACCTTGTATTTTATTGCATTTTTAGATTCTCCCCGAAAATCTGATTTCATCAATGCATCACACTTGGGGTCTAGCTGTAATGGTTTCAGGGATATAAAGTGTTCAAAATCGAGATTTTTCAACTTCAACATTTTTTTGTGTCGAAACTAATCATTATTGGTCAAAACGACTCCCATGTCCCTATCTTAACTTGTGATTCACTATCTACTAACATTTAATTGGAACAGATACAGGGTGATCAGAATTCTGAATCTTGAACCACCCTGTATTTGTTTCAAATAAATGTCATTAGATAGTAAATCACAAGTTGAGATAGAGACATGAGAGCCGTTTTGACCAATAATGAATAGTTTCGATACAAAAAAATTTTAAAGTTGAAAAATCTCGATTTTGAACACTTTATATCCCTGAAACCATTACAGCTAGACCCCAAGTGTGATGCATTGATGAATTCAGCTCTTCGGAGAGAATCTAAGAATGCAATAAAATACAAGGTGTTCCATTTGAAATAACAAAGTTGTTGCTTCTTTTCTTTAGAAGCGGAAACGCCGCAGGGCTGAAAATATTTTAGAAAGATGTCTCCCTCGAAAATGTAGTTGACCTGTTTCAGTTTTTTTTGATAATCCGGTTTTGGCGACCTACAGAGCCTCTGTTTCGTTTTCAAAGGCCCACTCTGTATATAAAATTACCAAGACGTACGAAGTTTCTATTTATGTGTGTAAAATTAATGAAAAAACTATTTTTTCTGAAAACTTTTCGACACTGAGAATGCTTATTCTGTATATATAGGTGCGTCACAAAATTAACGGTTTCACAATGTAAGTATATATACATGGTTTAGATATGGTCTGGGAAACATGGACGTCGACAGGACGTCCCTGCAAGGTCATGAAACTGACGTCCTATTTTATCATTTTAAGTGACATCCACTCGACGTCGAGATGATGACGTGATTCTTATGTCATAGAAAGTACGTCATAGTGACGTCATAAATTGATGTGTGACGTCTCTGACGTAAAATCACCAATTGGGGACGTCACAGTGACGTGATCATTCGTCATATGGTTACCTGGGTTCGAGAATAATTGGTGTATCAAAATGAAATTCAATATGGGTATATGGCATGTGAAGAGGAAAGTTTTTGCAAATTTTTCACTTACCGGTCACTTCCGGATTCACCGGAAATGGCTCCGGTTTTGAATAGAATTATGGATCAGAATATGACATTTTCAGAAGTTTCTACGCCTACTTTATTTTTTTAGTCACTTTCATAATTGCATCTAGGTGGCCATGATCGGACGTAAACTCTCAGGTGATGACAGGAGATTATAATCACTAAGTTTTAGTGACTAGTCTGATAGATAGGAAGAATAAGAGTTAACAAAATTACATTTCCGTGTCCAATTAATATTTTTCAAATGGCAACCATTTCTTGACAAGCACTTACTGAAAAAAGAATTTTTGATGAATCAAACTATACTAATTTATTCGCAATTGGACTGAAAATAAAAACATATAAATTTAATATTACTAAGGAAAATGAGATAGAGAAAATACTGGACTTTCGTCGCAAGGTGTGTCATTTACAGTAAAGTATAATATTTTGCAGTTATTTTTTTCGAGTATTTTTGGAAAACAAAGAACTCTGGTATCCACTTTTTGATTACCTATATTTGATTACCTATATAATTTTCACGGCTCTGCAACGAAATAGCGCGTAACAAAACAGCGCGTGACAAAACAGCGCGAACAAAACAGCGCGTTACAAAACAGCGCGTAACAAAATAGCGCTGTAACAAAACAGCGTTGTAACAATATAGCGCGTTCTGAAGTAGCGCGTTCTGAAGTAGCGCTCATTTCCGTTTGTTATTTCAAATGTTTAAATGTTTTCGCATCTCAAACATATCTCATCAGCCATTATACCTATCTATCAGTGATTGATTATCCAATAACCTATCATGTGAGTAAGTCGTTCCGTCGTTGCTGTGAAAAAGAAATGACCGAAAATTACCATAGATATACGTCATTCGATGTTTCAATTTGACAACAATCGCCTATTGTCTGTAATCAGTGTCAGAACAATGGAGATATTGAAAACTCAGAAAGAAAGAAATTTACTGAAATATGATGATTAAAGATATAGACGTGATAAAGTCGGATAAAGTACTCAGTCATTCGGAATCCTGGAGATGTGTTAAAGCTGCCTGCAAGGGTAGAATGGTTGTAACTCCCGGAAAACCTAGAGCAACAACTAGTCATAATCACGGCCCTGATTTGGGAGAAAATGAAGTTCATATGGTGAAGAAAAGAATTCGCGATATTGCCAGAAATACCGAAGAGAAGCCAAGAAATATCATTCACGCATCTACAAGCGGTGTTACGAGAGAATCTTCGGTCCTTTTACCTGCATATGATGCTGCCAGGACACTCATACATCGCCAACGTTGTAGCAAGGATTCGATATAACCAACCTTTAGTTCCGTGAAGGATATCACTATCGGTGAAAACTACAAATTGACCGAAAGAGGAGACAATTTTCTACTGTGGGATTCTGGCATAGAAGAAAGAAGCTGATAGAATATTTATCTTTGAAACAACCAGCAATCTTTCGATTATGGTTGAATTTGAGCACTGGTGTATCGATGGCACATTCAAAGTTGCGCTGACTTTATTCTTACAGTTGGTCACAGTTCATGTACTGATCGATAACAAAGCTGTTTCAGTAATTTATTGCCTCATGCGTAATAATAAAAAAAGAGTTTATTTGGAGCCGCTTTTGAGCCCTTCTTCTGTATTATCAGATTCTGAATTAGCATCAATGAATGCAGTAAAAAGTACATTTCCGAACGCTGGAGTTGTTGGTTGTTTGTTTCATCTTTCCCAAAATTTGTGGAGAAAAATACAACAATCAAAACTCACCACAACATACAGATCAGATGAAAGTAGAGCTCGCTCCAAGCTCCAAGATGCTTCCAGCATTGAGTTTTGTTCCTGAAGTTGACGTCCAACGAGTATTTGATGCAATCGCACATAATCAGGATTCCTCATCCTCTGAAGAATTCGCTTCATTGTTGGAATATTGGGAGATAAATTACGTAGGAAGAAAACTAATAAAATTGAAAGCTCGTTTTCCTGTTCCTACTTGGAATTTATTTCAACGCATACAAAAAAATTTGCCTAGAACAAATAACTCTTTGGAAGCTTGGCACAATTCGTTCCAACACTCATTGAATTGCTATCATCCATCGCTTCATAAATTGATTAATCATCTGAAGAAAGAACAGAATTAAGCTGAAATTTTCATCACAAGCTTCAAATGTGGCTTCAGACATGGAATGGGAAATAATAGCAAATATGTGCAGCTCAACAAAAGACTTGAAAGATTAGTGAGAAATTATAACTTCGACCAAATTGAAGATTACTTGCAGTCTATTGCCTACAACTTGAGTATTTGATTTTCATGTTCAAAGACTTGTTTGTTATAGTCCAATGAAGAGTTGAATGGAATATGCTTTTCATGATTTCTAATCATTTTGGAATAAGCGCTGTTTTGTTACAGCGCTATTTTGTTACGCGCTGTTTTGTTACAGCGCTGTTTTGTAACGCGCTGTTTTGTTCGCGCTGTTTTGTCACGCGCTGTTTTGTTACGCGCTATTTCGTTGCAGAGCCAATTTTCACAGGAAATTAAACTGAAGATTTAAAGAAAATAAAGAATTTTTTACTGTCTGCACATAAGACTTATTACACTGTAATTAATCTAATTGCAGAATATTATGTATCATGGCTATCCATGGCACACTTGACAAATGTGAATAAATAAATAATATTCATTATTTTCCTTAGGAATATTGAATATATGTTCTTATTTTTGATCGAATCGCAATTGAATTAATATCGTTAAATTGGTCAAAAAATCCTTTTTTCGGAAAGAACTTGTCAAAAACTGGTTTCCATATGAAAAATACTAGTTAGACATGGAAATGTAATGTTATCAACTTGTCTTCTCCCTATCTATCATAGGTACTACTAGTTATGATGTTACGTCCGATCATGATGGCCACTGAGATGCGATAGAAGTGACTCTAAAAAAATTGAGTAGGCGTAAAAACTTGGGAAAATGTCACAATCTGATTACAGAATTGTCTCATGAATTAAATCCTATCAAATGTGAAATGTTATATACAAGGTTTTCCTTTCAAAAATTCAAAACCGGTGCCATTTCCGGTGAAACCGGAAGTGACCGGGGGGTGAAAAATATGCGAAAATTTTCATACAAACGTCAAACAACGTCAAACTAAATCAAATACTCACTAAACATAGTTGGGGGTCCTAAGGGTTCGTCATCATTATCATTTCTGGAATCTGTCCTCCAGTTGTCTGTAAAATAGTATGGGTTGTGTATTTTCATGAAACCGTGGAACCAAAGAAAATATAAGATATTGTGAAATTACAACTGTCTAATGACTTTATACAACCATAAAACTAAATCAAAGTGATCAAACCCTTGCCAAATATAGGGTGATTCATGAGGAGACTCACATAACCAAATGGTGAATAGATGATATCAACACGAGTTGATGTATATACAGTGCCCGTCTAAAGTCCGTTCCCCCTACTAATTTTTGAACCACATGGTATATCGCAACAAGATTTGGAGGGCTTTAATATTTTTTTCAATAGAACACCCCGTATATTATTCCATTTTCGAAATTTGCTCATAATTCTCAACAGTTTTCTCTAATACACTATACTCCTAAATTCAATTGTTTTCGAAATATTAACGTTTGAAAGGTGAAATTTTCATTTCAAACCCAACCAAAAACACTAATGTTGCTTTCAACCAAGTTTGCATTGGAGAAAATCGTCGCGGTAACGTCTTGTTTACTGTCAAATTAACTGTAACTGTCAAATAGTCCGTTGACCGCCTCAATCATTTTATGAAAACTGTGATCATGGCTCGTGGTTTAGACGATAAATTTGAAGCAGTTTTGATATTTCGAGAAGCTGGAAGAAATTATCATCTAGCAGTCCGTATGTTTAATGATAAGATTTCCCGAGAATCCTATTTCGAGGTCGTATTTTCGCAAACTTTTAAATAAGCTCCAAGCAACTGGTACGCTGAAAGATGCTCCAAGATCAGGAAGACCGCCTATTTCAGAAGAAAAAAAGGTTGAAATTATTGCTGAAATGGTAATCAATCCGACTCAGTCGACGTCTGCAGATACTGAATCCTGTGGAGTAAGTTCAAAAAGTGACCAAAGCATCCTAAAAAAAGAAGAGTTTCATCCCTATAAAGTGAAAATCCTGCATGCTCTCACGGAGGATGATCCAGACCGGAGGGTTGAATTTTGTGAGTGGTTAACAAGAACAATTGAAGGAGAACGGGGTTTCATAAAACCTAAAACGTGTATGTTTCAGACGAATGCACGTTTATTCTTCACGTTGAGAGCCATGAGCATCCCAAGAGACCGTCAGCTCATGGTTCACTCACAGAACTCAATGTGGGTTCACTCAGATCGCGTAGGGCCACACGGACCTACACAATGTTACCATTTGTTGTATTAATTTTGGACCGTTGGGACTCTTCGATAAAGTTTTTGATGGTATGGGTGGACCGTCACGGTCTCTTAGGATAATAATTTCTACACGGACAACGACATTTTTTTACATGTGAATATGGTCCCTAGGTTTGAAAAACACTGTCGAAATATAAATAAATATTTTCTTTATTAAATTCTCAGTAATAAAAAGAAGAGAATTGAACTATGAAATGGAATGAAAGTATAAAGATAATTTCACATTTATACGTCAAAAAACAGTTTTTAGTGTAATAGATTGAAACAATCTAGGCAATGTGCTGGCTTTCCCTCGCAATCATCACTATTCAAGTCCACACAGTGACACTAGGACGAACAACACGTTGACAGTCGACTCGGTGTTGAACAGTGGGACCAACGGTCCAGTAGCAGCATTTCATAGTATGGTGGACCGCGTAGGTCCTATATATGGGACCTACACCTCATGAGCTCACATAATATTTTTGTTTTGAAGAATATCACAAAATGGTTCACACACCACTTATATATGCTCAATATCTATCAAGAAATCATTTCGGCCCATGACGACTTTTTTTAAAATTTGGCTTGGCGCTCAGCGTGTTAATGGAAAAGTCAACAAACATAATGTACGATACTGGAGCGATACTAATCCGCATATTTTCAGAGAGGGACATACACGGACAACATTCATAGGTAAATGTTTAGGCGGGGATTTTAGGCAATCGCGTTGTTGGGCCGATTTTCATCAGATGCAATCTTACAGCAGTTCTTTACAAAACTCTTTTAGAAACTGAAATTGAACCTGGAATAAGGCAAATTGTATTGAACAATCAGGAAGAGTGTCAAAATCGTGAAATTATATTTCAGCATTTCAATCGCAGGGCTAGAGACTTTCTCGATACTAACTTTCCTGGGCGATGGATAGGCCGCAAGGGAAGTACAGAGTGGTCACCAAGATCTCCGGATCTTACACCTCTAGATTTTTTTCTTTGGGGGTATGTGAAGTCAAAAATCTACGCCAATGAATGCCAAACAATAAAAGAATTGGAACGCAGAATAATATAGATACATGTGGAGAAATAGATGAACACATTCGTAGGCTTCGAGATTTTCCGGTAAGCGGTGCTGTTTATCCTTAATAAACTGTCTTTACGACTCTTAATAGTCGAAATAATTGAGAGATTTAACTACAAATTAATAACAACGTGTAGTTAGCAAAATGTTTCACAGGAAGTGACCAAAATCCATACTTCATTTCATACCGGAATGTCACTTTTCAAACTTAATATTCAGAAAACAATTAAATTCAGAAGTAAGGTGTAGTAGAAAGAACTGTTGAGAATTATGAGCAATTTTCGAAAATGGAATAATATACGTGGTATTTAAAAAAAAGATATTGAAGATGGCACTCAGCCGCCATTTTAAAACTTTCAGCTTTGTTTTTTTCATGAGAATGTTGGTTTTTATCTCCTATTGAAGCCCTCCAAATTTAGTTGCGATATACCAGGTGGTTCAAAAATTTATAAGGGGGGGAGGACGGACTTTAGACGGTTCGGAAATGATTCACCGTAATTTGCTGGAATTTGGCAGCGACGTCTCTACTGAAACAATTCAAGATGGCATATATTATGAAAAAAAAAACAGATCCGGGCTTGGGAGAAAATCATGTTCAATTGTTATGTCAAAATAGTTCACTTTGTGATCACTTTTCTCGAAAAATTTTATCAAATTCAGAAAGATCAGACAAAATGCCAATATTCTTCTGGCAATTCAATCACACGGCACACTTTGACCGCGGTTCAATTGAAAAACAAAAACAAAATCGTTCTAATGATGAGGATTTTTCAATTTCGACCTGGCTGAACTCTCATCATTCAACTGGATTCATGGAAATTGATTTTTTGGACATTTTTGTTAGGTTGAAATTCACAGAAGAGTAGTTGAGAAAAAAAACATGTTATTTTTTTTCGAAATTCTAGATAGATATTATTCGTGACTTTGTTTTATGGATTTTAATAGACGTTATAATGAAATATTAAACTCTGTTTTTCATTGTGTGACGTGACATGATTGTGACTAGAGTCACTAGATGGTATTAGTTTGATAAGAGTTCGGACACAGCTGAACTTTTCTCCTTTTCTATTTTCTATAATACAATGGTTTAAGCGAGGGTTTAAGTGAATAAAAGAATAAGACATATATTCTACTCTTTGTCTTTTCAATTCCCCTAGTAGCGCCTGATTGTCAGATACGATTTTAGAGGTTATATTTCCTGTCAAATCTTTCATAGCCGTAAATGGACAATGGAAATAGGGTACAAACACCCACTTGAATTTATATTGATACACCTCTAGCAGAACAACAGTTATACAAATGAATATATATACAGTACGTTCAAGTGAAGTATTCCTGAGCCAATTTCAAGGAATGAAGTCCATATAAAAGCTTGTAACAAATTATTTTTCGATGAACATTTCATGGGAAAAAAGTAGTTCATTTTGACGAGACCTACCACATACTTGATTTTGTAAAGTTCTCAGCAACTTCACTTGGATTGATATAGAAATTTGTAAATATCTCAAAACGATAACCTGCAGCGAAATTGAGGCCCTTCTAATAATTCCCTTGATACACATAAATAACTATTATCATTGGTTTCATGTTCACATAAATACCCAAGTAGATATAATGATGGTTATGTGAGAACATAATATACCTTATGAAAGTGTGAAAACTGAAAACACAGAGTTTTGCATCCATAATGAGAAATTCACTAACTTCTTAATCCCATGCATACTTCGACTCGCTTTTGAATGCCTCAATATTCTTCTGCTTTGTGAATTGATGGAACAGCAGATTCTCTCAGACAGATTTCGAAATATTCTGTTTGAAAATGGGCTTGAAATATAGTTTCATTCTAATCAGATGCTGTTACAAGAAATGAATTTTAATGAGTATCTCACAAATTTTGCTCGTCTTCAGATTGATTTTCCACCCATATCTCATTCCTTCCATAAGCGAATGGTTGATATTTGTTTTAGAAAATTGAATAAATGATAATTGATAAAAAAAAATTCAGAAATGGCACAATTCATTACACAGCAAGTAATTTCCATAACTGCTTTTTTCTCGAAAGTATGATTATTATGAAATTATATTTCAATACTGACCTTCATGAAATGTATTGTCAAATTCAGACAATTTTGAATGAAAAAGAATGGGACGACTATGGTGCTCTTGTCACAATGCAAGGTGTGTAACTTAATAAATCTAAACATTCAAAAACACTAACCGTTGTCATTTCTGTATCCGAACCATATATACGTATTAATAATCAATACGGATAATCTCTATCTGTTTCCATAGCAAAACATGAAGCCGATTTTTGAAGACAAATGACTATCCATAAGGAAAAGTTTTGAAACGATCAGACGCATACTGCTTTGATTGAAAGGCTAGTAAACGTCATCGTCCACCGAAACGCATGTCTTTGATGACTACTATAATAGCGCATGGCGCATGCGTATCATGCCACCAAATCCTTATGGATATTCATTTGTTTCATATTTTTGGCTCCATCCTGGCACCCGTTATGATCCGTATTGTTTATTAATACGTATATGATCCGAACTCTTATCAAACTAATACCATCCAATGAATCTAATTGTGACGTTTGTTGATAAACCCACCGAACTGAATTGGTGTAGGTACCAAGGTATAGGTACCAACTATGATAAAAATACGGCATGAGGATTTTCATGTGCCCATAATATGGTAATTTATCAAATTAGTTATGCCATCATGCGTAAACTGAGCTTC